CCATGGCGGGGGGTTGGACTGGATGGGCTTTAAAGGTCCCTTCCAACCCAAAGCGTTCTGTGATCCTATGACTCTTTACCAGGGAGTGGAGAGATAGGATGGGGGTAATGGCTTTAAACTGAAAGAGGGTAGATTTAGATTAGATATTAGGAAGAAGTTCTTTACTGTGAGGGTGGTGAGACACTGGAACAGGTTGCCTAGAGAGGTTGTGGATCCCCTATGCCTGGAAGTGTTCAAGGTTGGATGAGGCTTTGAGCAACCTGATCTAGTGGAAGATGTCCCTGCCCATGGCAGAGGGGTGGGATCTAGATGATCTTTGAGGTCCCTTCCAACCCAAACCATTCTATGATTCTCTGTATTTTACAACATGTACAATACATGCATGTACATACAATGAGGCCCTCGAACACAACTCATGAATTTAGAATTTTTTCTGTTGAGCCAAGTTCATAACTAGGTTCATAAAGCAGTTGGATAGTTTCACTTTTTATAAAGTGAAATGTGTTTAGGATATTCTGACACTCTTTATATGATATAAGGAACAGCTTAACTTTTTAGTTTAGAGATATTTGTATCAGGAGTAGGGACATCTTTAAATCTAGGTTTAAAATATTGTTGTAAAAATAGACATTCTGTTATCATTCTGAAGCAAGTATGGTTCTTTCCTGTATGTTATATAACAGCTTCCAGCACTTTTGTGTGCATCTTTAGCTGCTTGATTAAACTTTTGACTGCTTGAGGGAGGGGATGAGTGGAGGAGGTATAGATGGGAACATGTAATTTACTCATGAGATGCGCAACACTTTTGCTTTGGTGGAACAGCACCCTCCCACAAGACTGCTGAACCAGACCTGGTGCAGTGATCAGGGTGCATTCAGTCACGGCAGAGGTAACTTTGATGGCCTGGTTAAGGGAAGTCTCTTGTCCTGATGTTCGTGAAGAGTCTGTTCATAGCTTTACCAGCGTCACAGGTCCCCAGGTCAAGCAAAGCCTGGAGATAGATATACGTAGGCCTCATCCATCTGCTCCTTTTAGCAGTCTTCCTGCTTGAGCTGCAGCTCTGAGTTGTGTGACTGTCTTGCTGTGGCTTCTTCTGCCTGCTACCCCACATGGTCACTGAAATATTGCCCTTGAGCAAACGTGGCTGCTTTCTGGAAAAAAGAGCTCTAGAGGGCTGCCCTAACCTGGTGTCCTCCAAAGAACATTGGTACATCTCAACTGCCAGATCGACTGCCATTTGTAACTTCCAGGCATCTCGGAGACCCCCAAAAGCAGGTTGCACCTTTGTAAAGCCTTCTGTCAATTTTTTGCATGAAGACAATAAACCAGGCTGAAATTATAAATGCAAATAAAAATGTGAATGAAAGCAGCTTGGAGTGTCTTCCAGTGTCACTGTTCATGAAGGAGCAAGGAGTTACTTATCACTGTCAGGAATTCTCTATGGTGCTCTGTCAAGCTGTCCATTGAACGCTTCCGTTCGTTCCCATCTCCCTGGGAATACTCGCATGCTGCCTGGCTTCTGCAGGTGGGAGGACGCTATGGGCTGCGTAAGTACCCTGCTGTTCACACGCGGTGTGCAGTGACGTTTGCCCTTCAGGTACTGCACAGACAGAAGGCTTCCAGATCCGATTGTCTGTGACACGCGCACAGTGGCTTGCTTGACTGTGTGACGCGTGTGACGCAGGGGCGTGTGTCTGGAGAGTCTGTTATGAAGCCTTTTTCTGCTTGCTGCTAAATAACTGTCTTTAAACTAGAAGTCATGTTTTGTCTATATGTCTCCTGCAAGCTGCTGAGCTTGAAGACACTGCACATATGTTGCAGAACAGGATTCACAGTGACAGATTGGGCCAATGATTAAGAAAAATTGGTTACAGTTAAACGAAAACAAATTCAGAGATCTACACCAAGAAATGGAGAACACGTGAGCCTTGTAGCTGGAGCGTATTGCAAAATAAATGTGTTGATTTATTCTGTAGTTAGAAAAAGATGCGCATCATGCTGAAGCATGTAAAGAAATACTGTCTGTTGGGCACACCAATCCCCCATAAAGCAAGATTTTTGTAAAATAACTCTGGGCATCGCATTTTGTCAGAGTTATGAGCAAATTAGAAAATCAAGAGGACAGCACAAGTGATCAGAAGTTTGGGAACCAAGACTTGGCACTTGGGCTGGGGAGCAAGGTTTGTATAATCTAGAGCAGTGATTTTCAGCTTTTTTTTTTTTCCTTTGCAAACATAACGTTATTTCCGTGTTTGGAGTTGCAGACCAAATACAGAGCTTTTTAAAGCCTATAGGTAGTAGGATTCCTCTTCAAAGTTATTTCCGTGGCCCTTAAAAGCAGCTCACTGACCACAGGCTGAAAACTACAGATCTATAGAAGAGAAGTTTGAGGAAAGAGAAGGAGAAAAATGAATTCTAAGATGGTTTAAGAGGAAAAAGGAAAAAAGCCATTCCCTGCATTCTTAGTGGTGTGAGACTAGAATAGTGAGCTTAAACTGCAGCACGGAAGGATTACTTCACATAACAAAACAGTTCTTTAATAACATAACGATACTGCAGAAAGTCAGTATGTCAGAGGAAAAGGTAGACAAATACTTGGCGGGCAGGAGGAAGATGACTTTGATTTCTGTGAGTTGGCTATAACAGCTCAAATAATCATATTTAAAGTGACCAGAGTTGCTTTGCTCGTAATGAATACTGCTGAAGAAATCCTGGTGTATCCCTGAAAGGTGACCACATTTCCCTAGTGGATTACTTTACTACTTTGTGTGGGAATCCATCCTGGGGAATGGGCCTGGCCAGATCAAGTGCAAAGCACTGGGGATGCTCATGGGCCTCTTTAGGAGACGCATGCGCTCTGCTTCTCAGGGGCTGTAGTCCAGAGTGATAAATGTCAGCAATTAAATGTGCTGTGCAGCAGTGAGATGAAAAAATACTCTTTACACCTTGTGTGTAAAGCAGCTTTATTGTCATCTCTTAGCTGTCAGAGTTGCCTCCTTGTTTTTCCCTTGCCTGCCCATGGCATACGTTCTTCTTTATTAGGCAGTGCATTTACAACACATTGGTACAAGCTGCGAGTTTTAAGAGGTGTTTGATTACTTTTATTAGCTGCATTTGCAGGTTACTCTAGGAGCCACCTAGTGGTACACTAATCCTAGTAACGTGTACAGTAACAAAACATCCGTAGTTGTAACCGAGACATGCTCAAGATGTGTGTGCACCCTTGTATAAATGTAACTAACTTCTGTTTTTTCAGCTACAAGAAGAAAGATGCAGATTTGTCTGTGGCTCAGGGTCGCATTAAGGATCTTGAAGTGCTGTTCCATAGAAGTGAAGCAGAACTCAATACTGTCCTGAATGAGAAGCGCAGTCTGGAAGCAGAGGTGGCCGATTTGCGTGCCCAGCTGGCTAAGGTACGGCGGTGAATGCCTCCTTGCTTTAGCACAGGAGAGGCTGTGTATTGTGAAATTTGTTCTTGTTCTTTGCAGTTAGTTTATAGTCTGAACATCATTGATCCAGCTCGCTTACTGCTGAGCCTTTGCCTGCCCCTCTTGGATATAACACTAAATTGTAAGAAATTTCTGTAAAGCAACCAAAGCAAAGTGGTTTAGAAATTTTGTTAGTCAAAAGCTTTTATTTAAAAATTTCTGGTAAGTGTTCCTATATTCATGAGATATCAGGTTACTAAATGTTGTCCTTTGTAAGGTCCTGCATAATTCTAAACTTATGCTGGAGTACTCAGTGGGACTATGCTAGCAAGAAAAAGAACATGCAACGTATTGTGCTTGAGGAATTAATAATCCTCAGCTCCGTTATCATACTGTATTGAAATAATCCTAGGTTTTAAATCCTACATTTGGTATACAAACGTGAAAGCTTGTTTGAAATATTCATAAGCATGCCCACATGCCCACTCTTTTTCTTTTTTGTTGGTTTTTTTTTGAAAATCAGTGGTTTGACGTTAGATTTGTTGTTCTGAATAACATGTCCAAAGATGTCAAATGAAGACCATAAAGAGATTATGGGGATGGAAATTAGGGATCCAGACAAAATTAAATCTTTATCTTTAAAATTCGTTACTAGGCTGAAGATAGTCATGCTGTGGCTAAGAAGCAGTTGGAGAAGGAGACACTCATGCGTGTGGACCTGGAGAACCGATGCCAGAGCTTGCAAGAGGATCTGGATTTCAGGAAGAATGTGTTTGAGGAGGTATTACCAACCTAGTAATCTCATCATAGTCTGAAGTTTGTGTAGCTTTTATTTAAACTGACTATAAGCAATTACTAACTGGTCCAGGTAGGGAAAATCAGTATTATCCTTGCTATAAATAGGTTGAGTAATAAAATAGTTAAAAGTTTTGCAAGAGTTGCATGGTAAATCAGTGGCGGAGCTGGCATGAGAGCCGAGTGACAAGGGTATTGTTCCGTGGCAGGTGAGCTAATGTAGGAGCTGACTGCTGTGGGGAGGGGAGAGTCTTGTTCCCTCTCTCTGGACCTGGTTGCATGGCCCTGCTCCTTACTCGCACCGACTTGGGTGGCTGTTGGACCTGACTGTAACCTGTTTTCATTGACAAGAACAGCATGCAACTACCCTGCTTTTTGCAGGGGTACTTTTCTGCCTGTTTAGTGAGTTGAGTTGGTTCATAGTGGTTCTAGTGAGGACCAGAGTTTTTATAAAGTGAATAGCAGGCATGCACGGGTGGGGATGGGGGACTGGACAAGGAAAGGGAAGCGTGACCGTCTTTCTGTACCAGATGCAAAGTGTTACATGAGTTTATTCCACCCGGTGAACACCAACTCTGACCTTTGGTTCTTCTGTAAGCTTATTCAATTAGTGGCTGCTGAGCAATTGCCACATGCTTCTGCCCTTCATCTCACCCATGCTAGTTGTGATGTTTGGCTCACCATGCACCAAACCATTTCAGCCTGATTAACTAGTAAGATACTTAGGGTTTTATGATTGAGTTTGGTTTTTGCCAGCTTAGTGGCTGAGTTATGTCTTACCACGGAATCAAATGAGTGCCCAGACTGGATTAAGGGATGGGGCAGGGCTGTGTGGCTAAGGACAGGGGCTGGAGCAGGGCAAAGGCACCAGCCAGGTAGATCCCCCCCGAGTTGTACTGACCACTGTCTCACAGCCATGCCCTGGAGCAGCTGGATTGCTGCACGTGACTGCAATGACAGACCCTTACTTGGTTTTGTAGGGCCTTAAAACAACTTGGCTTCCTGAGGAGAACTGTCTTGCTACTGACTAAAGGTGAAGCTAGTCTAAAGGTGAAGCTAGTCTAAAGCTTCTAAAGCTGTCGCATTAGACAGCAGAAGCTAATCTTAAAGCTTGCCATGCTGAAGTGTGGGTGTTCCTTTAGCCGTTGCTGGAGCTCTTTGATCCTTGTATGGACCAATTCAACACACAAAGGAAAAAAAGGAATTGGTTTCCTTTAGGTTAGTGAATTCATTTGGTTCAGTGAAGGGTCCAAAGCTCCGTTAAGAGTTAGAACATCATGATGGGAAGCGTGGCAAGTGAAGCCTGCTTATTCTAGTGGTGTTGAACTCCTAGATCAGCTCAGCCCTTCACCTGATGCTTTGTAGTCCTCCGTGACGTTTTTGTGGCCTTCCAAGGGCTCATTGCCTACAGATACTGAAAGACTGCTGCTTGTTAGTTTTCTTGGTATAAAAATTCACCATAGCAGGGAAAGCTTCTTCCAGATCACATCAGGGCACATTTCTGCGAGTAGAAGGGCATGTTTCCAAGAGTCTATTTTTTAGATGTAGAGCGTTTCTGCAAAAGAACTTGTAAAGTCACCCTGAATTTGTGTTAGCCTGCTATGACTCCAGTTCAGGCATGCAAAGTGAACCTTGCTTCACTTGCCTGCTGTTCCTCCTCAGGCCCTGCTGCTACCTTCGGGCCTCCTCCCGGTACTCAGAACCGCTCCCTTCTTGTTTGTCCTGCCCTGCCAAATGAGAATGGTAACTTGCATCTGTTAGTACACACAGCAATTCTTAGGCTTAAATGCCTTTAGTACTGTAGCTCCTATATACTAAATAATTAGTACTGAAATAGTTAATTGTTGTCTGAATGTAATTGCTGTACTGCTTACCCTAATGTGGAAATTTGTCCCTCCTTTTTTTTTTGTGTGTGTGTGTAGGAAATAAGGGAAACAAGAAAACGACATGAACATCGTTTGGTTGAGGTGGACACTAGTCGCCAACAGGAGTATGAATCCAAAATGACTCAGGCCCTGGAGGATCTGCGAAATCAACACGATGAACAAGTTAGACTGTACAAAATGGAGCTGGAGCAGACCTATCAGGCTAAGGTAACTGCTGCTATCCACGGCACTGTCTGACAGGAGGTCCGGTTGGTGAGATAAAACCACTTCCACCAGCCCGACTGGTCTTTAAAGAGACAAGTAATTGTAATTTGAAGAAGCTTTGTCCCAGTGTTCAAATGCCTCCTCTGGTGCTTGTGCACAAATGCGTTTCCAGGGAGGTTATAGCCAGATGTAATAGCTAAATAGCTTTAGCCAAGAAAGGCCAGTTTGTGAGAAAACACGTGGAACTCTTGGTCACTGTGGAGGACGCAGTGGGAATAGTGGATGTCACACAATACTGATTAGACAATGTCTTCTGCTAGAAGGGCTTTTTCCTTGGTGTCAGTAGATCCAGTTCTTCCTCCAAAATGGAAGTGGTGGAGGAGACTTGCAATAGGTGCAATACGTTGGCTCTAAGAAGCTGACTACCTGGAGGGATGGGTTGGAGAGCTTGGGGAAGGGCTGCATTTCAATACGGGCTTTTGCTTGGGTGCAGTGAGCTTGCAAAATAACATGGACATGCTGAGAGGGGCTCCGTGTCTAAGGTTGCATTGTCACTTTACTCTTACTGTGGCCTTGGCAATGTTCTTACTAGCCCCAATATTCTCTTAAATGTGCGTAAGCCTTATCACATTTCGATGATCTAAGTTTTGGATTAGAAAATTACTAGATGCAGTTGTGGTTTCAACTTCAGGCAAGGTATTGGACCTTTTTTGACCAACCGTGGTGATGAAAGCCATGGTATGTAAATTGGAAATCATAGAATCATAGAATGGGACCATGTTCTGCCTGTAACTGTGCTTAGAATTGGGGCAGTTTAGTTCCTGGGCGGATTCCATGGTGTGTAGCAGAATTGTTGAACTCCAGCTGCAAGGCATGGAAA